TGACATTCTAATTTATTGAGATGCACCTGTGTATATATATATACATTTTTTTTTATTGTTATGAGACTTTATAGAATTACAAATACATGTTATTTCTTTAAAAATTAAATACAGGAAAGAAAAGTGTGCTCGATTAAATCATCATGGGGTTTTTATTGCTTTTATACCTCTCTTAAATTACTATTTTTTTTCGCTCTTGTACAGGACTATGCTGACACAGAAATGCTGCTCTCCAGGGCCAATGTTGACCAGAAGGCTCTGCTGTCCTACGCCAGAGAAGCAGCAGATTTCTCTACCAATCATCAGCTTCCTAAGCTGGACTTTGCCATCAACCATTACGGCCAACCTGATGTGGCCATGTTTGACTTCACCTGTATGTACGCCTCAGAGAACGCAGCGCTCGTCCGCCAGCGCAACGCCCATAAGCTGCTAGTAGCCCTAGTGGGGGACAGTCTTCTAGAGGTGAGTGGAAAACCGATATGGAGGAGGAAAATAAGACTATGCTCATGTAAGGGAGTTTGTTATTTGTTATAACCTACTTTAATAGAACCAGATGGTTTTCCATGAAGTACTGCAAAATCGGCTTTTGCTCTTCTCCAACCTCTTCCTTTGACAAATTTCAACTTCTGAAAATACATTTTCTCACATAAATCTGAAACCACTGTGGTAATGAAAGCATTAAGTTAAAACCCCACACACATTTACACTAGCTAGACCGCGATTGTGAGGTCAGTTTTCCCATCTTCTACCGAACAGAAGGTGACTGATTTCTAATATGAACTGTACAGCTGTTCATTTATCAATTTTAGTGTACGAGAAACAAGTTGGCTGATGGATATGTGCATTTTTTGTGTGTATAGCCGTTCTGGCCGATGGGCACTGGAATAGCAAGAGGTTTTTTGGCAGCCATGGATGCAGCATGGATGGTGCGGAGTTGGGCTCATGGAAGCTCCCCTTTGGAAGTGCTGGCTGAACGGTAAGACATGCTATGTACAGAATGGAATGCTAGTGTGCTGCTTACAGCATGCTGTGCAGTATAAACTGTATATTCCAACCATTGTATTGTTTTTAAAAATAATGCATAATATACAGTCTGCAATAATAAGTCTTTCAAAAGGTGGTTTGGCTGTTTTCACATGGCCTCACTATGTTGCTTGTTCAGTTCAGGAAATGTAAACCTATGATAATCAAAACAATGCATTTTAATCCAATTTGTGTCTAAATATTTAAACTTTTCGCATACTGTAAAAATAGTATGAGTAATATAGTGTTATGCTATTCCAAACACACCCAGAGTGATACAGAACTTATGAAGATGTTGACAGTGATTGTGTCTTCAAACTAAGCAGTAAACAGCTCAAGTCCCTGCAGGCCGTCACTTACTGTGGCGCTTGTTTTCTTCCTGCAGTGCTATTTTGTTGCATACTGCAGGGTAATTCATGGTGTCAAAACACTTTTCAACTTGTATGCAATAAGCAGCGTGTTTGTGGGGAAGCGAAAGTGTTTTATGAGCAAGTAGCTTGCATGATGTCTCAAGGGTTTCATTTTGAGACATCACTAATTGGATGAACGCCAAAATGAAGGGAATTTGGGTCTGAAATCATGGTGTGTAGTAATCATGAGCGTGGCTCCCTTGGGTTTCAGGGAAAGTATCTATCGACTGCTGCCTCAGACAACACCAGAGAATGTGAGCAAGAACTTTAGTCAGTACAGCGTGAACCCGACGACACGGTACCCCAACATCAGCCTTCACCAAGTGAGACCCAACCAGGTGGGATTACGCACATCTGACCCGTCAGAAAATCCAGCTGCAAGTTTTGTCTAGATATATTTGCTAATATCTCAAAATATCTCATTATCATGTTGTGATCCCTAAATTCAGTTTTAGTGTTTACAATTGCTATAAAGTTTTTTTAATTCATTATTTTTTCCCCAAAAAAATATTAATATTGGCCATTTATCAGTTATTTGCTATAACATAAAACAAATATATGCTTATTTGTTTCTGTCCAAATTTTAATATTGGTGCATCCCAAAAAATAAAGTTTCTGATGTTACATTCTTTCTTTTTTTTGGCTTTTGTGTAAATAATCTGTAAATAAGGTAATTCATTTTTTGCACATTTCATTTGTTGTCACTTTATGCACATATTAGCATTTTATCTGCCTTCTTTCTAGATATTGGCATCAGAAATAAATGTCTGACAACTAGTTATCTTGGATAATGGTGACCCTCCTAAGGAATAAACATGAGTTCTAATAACTTTACAACATAATTGTCTGCAGGTACGGCATCTGTTAGACACCGGAGAAGCCAGGGATTTGCGTGTCGACATGGAGAATGTGGTCAACTCTTCATCTCCTAAACTCACAAGAAATGGTTGGTAGATTTAGTATCACATTATTATTGCACGTCAGCTGTGGATACATTAGTTTTCCATATATTTATTTTGGCGTTTTTCTACACATTGGATAGTCTCAAATGTAAATGTGTATAACTTGATTTATTCTCATCCTAGAAATTCTGCTTGAGAAGCAATTGCAAGGTAATTTTGTGGGCGACTCTAATCCTAATGCATGATGTTCTACAGGCTTCTACGTTTCAACAAGCTTTGTGCAGTTTATTGCATGAAAAGAGTAACTCTGACATGGAATGAAAAGTTGTCTTTGAGCGCTTTAGAATTAAATGCAACTATGCACTAACATATTTGCGGATTTTCACAAACTGAGAACTGTTATCAATGCCGTCGATGTCTTGAATGTTTCATAACCTCTCAAAAAGGAATGAAATGCACCATGAAAGTTCTTCAGACGCTGCTCTGGTCATGTGACTAACTCCGATTGGATGTTGGCGCATTCCATTAATGAATATGTACATTCTTGCTTAGGCACCACTTGACTTTGCTTGCCCCCATCAGAATCCATTGTGCGCTCCAGTAAGCTGCTGAACTGGTGTCAAAGGCAGACGGAGAGATACAGAGGTGTCAGCGTGTCTGATCTCACCACGTGCTGGAAGAGCGGCCTGGCCCTGTGTGCGCTCATCCACTGTTACAGACCAGACCTCATGTAAGTGCTGTATGCCACATGCTGATCCCAACAAAAGCTCTGTGTTATTACGGTGCTATATTTAGAGATGCAGGACTGGAGCACAAACGATGCCGCAGAGAATCAGAGAATAACAAAAATTGAATTGGAAAGGACGTGTAAGTCATATGCCCACGCAGTGTGAGAAGACCGGCGATCAAGCAAAGTTAAAACGAAAAATGTTTGACATTTTAGAGAGTTTTAAGGTTTTAGTGGTGGTTTGAAAATGAGCTTTGGACTATCATCATAAAAGATGCACTCTCTAATGTAGTTCTTTCCATCATTAAAAACAGAGCCCGGCTGATATATCATTTAGCCGATATGAGCCTGTTGCCGATATATCGGTGTCGGCCAATATGCCGCTGATTTGAAACTTTTTTGTGCTCCATTGTTTGCTACTGGCGGCCTGGATGAAACGCTTTAAAGCTTAAGTCTATGGAAAACCATTGAAACTTTGAATGGCCATATAACCATAAAGGCGTGGCGAATCCGCACCAAATTCGGGGATCCTTTCAGCTCAAGGAACCCTCTCGAACGCGCAACTTTACTGTTCAGTGCACTGATGTCAGACTCATTTTGAATAAAGTTTATTGTTAAATGCCCTGCCTCCATCATTACATATCTTTGTCACGTCATTAGAAGTGTTTGATCACCACATTTGAGTGATCATTGCAAAAAATGTGTTTGTATATATATTCTGTTTATGTATATACTGTATTCTATATATAGTACCAGTCAAATGTTTGGGCACACGAATGGGAAAGTGTCCAAACTTTTGACTGGTACTGTACTATAATATACACAAAGAATATCGGCCGATATATCGATATCAGTATCGCCCCCAAAAAACCCATATCGGTCGGGCTCTAATTAAAAAGGTTTTAGACTAAAAGAAATGCATAATACCTTGTGACGAGTGTTTAAAATGATGTAGACACAAATAAGATACACTACGGTTCAAAAGTTTGGGGTCGGAAAGATAGTATATCTTA